CCGTTTTTGGTAAAAAAAAAAAAAAAAATTTATTTTTTAAGTTTAACATGGACTTTCAGGCACTTGCATGCATTTTTGATGCGTTCCAGACCAGATTCAGAGCAGGTAAAATAGGGCTTGCCGCATTTTTTTCATCCGGTCTGGATCTGGTCTGGATCTGGTCTGGATCCGCACGCTGCGATGTGAACTGGAGGTCAAAATACCATAGGAATACATTGGACGCAGTTTATGATAAGGAAATAATACAACATTTTGGCAGAGCTTGACTGTATTTTCTTCAGAAGCAAGACCTGGAAGAACTAAGGTGACTAGTTTTATGATGCGACCAGAAAAGCACCCACATTTGAGATTCAGAGGAGAGGGGAACCAGGACCCGTTTGACAATCTGTGGCCTTCATGGGGAAGTAGCACATTTCAAATCACAAAGAAACAAGTGTATAGCTGTAGCGTGGGCCAAACAATGCTGAAATGTCTCAGCTGACAACCAGAACAAAGTCTTGTTTGCTTTTCCGTGAACATTTGAAGTGCATTCTTCCAGCATATATGTGGTGACAGCAACAAGAGAGGTCAAAACATACTGGCACCAACTAAGTCTTCAAAATGGTTTTGGCTAGAAATGGGCTTTAAATGTAGTGGAAATATGCAGGAGTCGGGATGTTTTCTCTGTTCTGGTGTTGTTAGCTTGGCATAGAATCATCTACCCACTGACAAAGGGAAGTACATCTGTGTTGTGTACAAGTATAACTTATCACTTTCTAGAGCAAGATTTATTTTTCACTGGTGATCCTAAGGGTGCTGTGTCAGGCCCAGCTGATTGCCAAAGAAAAGCAAGGATAGTGGGTGTCAGAAGAGAAAAAATGGACACGTGGCATGGCCTGCTTTTTAAAGAATTCAGTGAGTGTAAATTGAGCTTTTATTCCCTTTTTAAGCCGGTTTTGCCCTGCCATAGAAATCTATAGAAATGCAAAACGCACCTAAAGGAGAACTATGAGGTGAGTGATTTCCACTCATCCTTCTAGTTGGAGCTGACCTGTGAAAATGAGACTGTCACAGGTCGGCTCTATCGATCGGGCAGTGAGCAGAAACATGCTGCCGATCCGCTCACTTCCCGATCGTCTCCCTACAGTAAGCGATGACTGTCATTAAAACCCCCCGCAGGGATGCTGACTGGTAGGCAAAGCCAGCTGTCACTCAAACAGCTGGGAAGATCTCAACAGTATTGTCGGGATCCGTCCCGGCTGCGGCGCTCTCAGTATTGCCCCCGATATACTGAGCTTTGGGTCACGGGAGGAGGTTAGTATATGTCCTCCCGTGACCCTAAAGAGAACTATGGGGAAAAATACTTACCACATAGTTCTCTTTTAAAGAACTCCGGGCAGAATTCTTCCTAACCCTTCCAGTGGGGCTATCCCCGCACTCTAAAGGTGCCCATACACCTATCGATTTATGTTCGGAAATCGTCCACGAAGGGTCTTTCAAACTATAATCGATCAGTTTATGGGATACCAAAGATTTTATTACTGTACTTCTTACCGAATGTCCTTGATTGGTCAGGCTGGAAAACGTTTTTTCGAATCGTATGAATGTTTTTTCAGTGGCGTTTTCGTAGGAAAAAAATCGCAGCACGAACACTGCACGTGCGCAAGTGAAAATCTGCTCTATCGATCGAAAAAAATTAGTGCGCTAGTATTTCTAACTAAAGATTTTCTAAATCCAAATTTTTGTTGCTGCCAAAAACCCTCTTTCCATTCTAGCTCAAATAGCCCATCATGGGCTATTTTGAGCTAGAATGGAAAGAGGGTTTTTGGCAGCAACAAACATTTTCCATCAAAAATCTATAGGTGTATGGGCAATTTAAGGGTTAAGTGCTTGATTTTTGTCTTGGGATGAAAATAAATAAACGTTTTACTTACCTGAACCTTGTAGCCAGCTGGGGAATTCCATACCTGTAGCGACTCGACTCGTAAGCAAAGGGATGGGATGCTTTGATGTTATTGATCTTATATGGCTAGATTTGATCAATTGCCTTAACATAATATGACCATGTGGCCGATAAAGGTCAGTGATGTCAGCCCAAGCATTCCGCATCTTTGTTCTGCTGCATGGCGGGAAATTCCCACGTCACTTTGGAGGAGCTCTGGATCGGACCTGGTTATGGCTCATCCCTACTAGTAAAGCCTGTAGGCTCCCGTCAGCTAAGCTTTTACTCATTACTAACTCCCCAGTGTGCCCTTATGTGGAGACAGCCTTCTTGGTAGGGGCGCAGGGCTTTGCTTTCTAATGTCAAAGCTGCCCACATGATGACTGATGAGTGAATATTCAAAAAGCAGCAGAAGTGTAAGAAGTTCCGCAGAATGTATGAAGAAAGATCAGGGAGATGCATGCAGTGCAGATACTCCTGTACATCATCCTTTCCAGCAAGGATAACATTAAGCAACATAGTGCAATCACCAAATCTCACCTCCAATATCACTAGAGACTAACAGTCAGAGGCATCGGTGCCTCTCACACTGCGGATTTACAGCTATGAGACTGTAGGCACATCAAATACCAAGAAATGCAATTCTGTTACTTGGGGGAGATTAGACGGTTGTAAACCAGGTGTAAGTTCTAATGCTGACGGACATGGGGCATACATAGTATCAGAGTCAGGGCACAAGCAGGCAAACAGTGTGACAGAAAAGCATAGAGAAGGTGGGTAAGGGATCCATCAAGAGAACATGTCACTTTGCCCCGTATGGGCAGGATGTTGGCTATCTCAGTGTAGAGTATTTTTGGACACATTTGTGGCCTCCATAGTACAGCGGCTCAGTGATGTAAAGATTGACGCAGTTCAAGAGTTCACATCGGTTCTGCCTTTGTAACTTGTGCCAGGTGATATGCCAGTGAGTCATCGGCTCCATGAATATGCATTCTGTGCAGGTGGCAGCAGAGGTAATATTTATTCAACTCGGGGCAAGCTTGTTTTTGTTTTTTTATTTTTTTCCTCTTATTCCAGATGATTGGGATCGCTGTAAATTTTCTCTGCTGGATTTTATTTTAAAGCCAATGAAATTTAAGGGTAACTATATGTACGTTTTTGTTTTTATTGTAAAACTTAAAACCCCAAAGGATATAAATCCAATTTACGTGCAGAAATCGTGCTGTACATAGCCTGTGCAGAGCTATGGGAGGGACTCGGCAGTCCCCAACCACTACAGACTGCCTGTACAGGGGGCGGAGACAAGACCAGTCACCCTGCACAAGTAAAGAGAGCAGTAGTGACTGGTCTGCATTACAGGAGGGGGCAGAGACAAGACCAGTCACCCTGCACAAGGAAAGAGCGGCAGTGAGCAGTCTTTATTACAGGAAGCTCCTGCACAGAGGCAAAGTGTCACACTGGATTACTGCACAAGTCTTTAAGGAACAAAGTTCACCATGATTCAAGGTAGAATGCACATGGCTCTGGCATTTCAAGGGGTGGGGGGCATGGGGGTGGTGTTGGACCTCTGCAGAGAGACCACTAGTTGCACACAGAGAGCAAGGGTTATCTGCAGACAAGCTTTTCTACTCTACCTGTGGCTGCTTTATAAAACAATTAAACTGTAGGACTTGAAATTTGTAGGGCTGAAAATTCAATAGGCTTTAACCCCTTCATGACTGAGGCCCTTTTTTCCATTTTTGCACCCTTGTAAGATTTTGGCTTGGTTTAGGGGTTATGTTGCAGTGAAAGATCCTAAGTGGTCCATTTTGTGGGTGTATTAAGTATAAAACAAATAATATTTCAGAAGCCAAAACTGACTGTACCGGCACTGCATGATCATAGAAATTCTAACATGGTGCTGACCAAATTACCCAGCACTGTCAGTTCCCGCGCCAAGCAGCTATTCAAAATATACTGCCTGGCGCCGAGTGTCAGCTTGAGGTGGGATGGGGCTATGGCCGTGAGAGAGCTCCATCAATCCATACATGCATTTCTTACAGGTGGATCTTAAAAAAATCAAATTTAAACATTTTTGGAGCGTGTATGACAATGTCTATGAGTGTGTGAGTCTGTGGTCGTGTATGTATGTCAGTGTTTTTGAAGGCTCGTTCACACTAGTACAGTGCATTAATAGCATACCCACAGTTTGTACGCCTGCAATGGAGCGGTACCCTAATGCCATGCATTCTATTGCAGTGCACCTTGGGTCACGACTTAATGACCCAGGACAAATGTGGGTCCTGAGGTCACACAGGTTGGGAACCACTGCCTTTAAAGTACTCAGCCTCTTTGTATAGCAGAGGAGATGAAGCTGAACTCCAGGCAGATTTAAAAGCCACAATTAAGTGTCGGGACAGCTTGTGTTATTGAGTAGAGATTCACCAGGGCTTGGTGCATGCTCAGTTCACCTAAGTCCACTCAAAACCGCAACTCCCCTCTCCTGTCCCAATCCATGGTGGCATTTACAGTGGGGACAATCCTCCTGCCCCTTTGACGTATAGCTGTGAGACAGGGAATGCGCCTTTCTCCGCAGCTGATTGGGTTGAGAGGAATGGTGTCAGTCACAATTTTGAGTGTGTTTAGGCGAACTGGGTTCACACCACGCCCCGCCTCATCACTGTTATTGAGTACAGCTATTTGGTCATGGATGGTGTACTGCTAAACAGGCAGCCCACCCAAAAGCATTATTTCAATCATTACGGATGTGTAATGGATGAAGTCACTTGCTTGGGGTTTTTTTTTTTTCATTTATCTTGGGGACTGTAACAACTAATATTCTGATTCAACAGGATACTCCCAGAAGCAGAGTAGGACCCCTGATAACTTTGATCATTGTAGAACTCCTACAAAAGCTCTCATCAGCCAAGTCCCTGAGAGATCTAAGAAACCAGAGGCCAACGTCTACTAAAAACTGAAATATTGCTGAACTGACCTTTTTTCTTTTTAAGTCAGCCTACATGTGAGTGGGACGTTTCATCTGAAGCTGCTGTAACACATCCGTTTGAACTTGTGCTTTTTTTTGTTTTTTTTAATACAGTCCCAAGTTTGAAAAGGGGAAATGGATGGTGGTGTCCCAAAACCAGTTGCAGTAAATGGCGTCACCATGAAATCACAGCTTCAGGTTACAGGTAAGTGTTCATAAGTGTGCAGTAACTGTGCTTCCACAATACCTTTCTTGATGCTAACATGTCACATAATACTCTTATGTTTAAAGCAGTGGTAGACAACCTTGGCACTCCAGTTGTGCTGAAACATATCATTTCCATCATGCCTCTGCGAGTCATGCTTGTGACTGTTCAGAGTCTTGCAATACGTCATGGGACTTGTAGTTTCCCAACAGCTGGACTGCTGACGTTGCCCACACCTGGTCTTAAATGTCTTCCATTTTCATGTTTGGTGTGGGTAGACAACTCTTAAAGCGTCGCTGTCACTTAAAAAAGCAGCCTGTAGAAGAAGACTCTTAAAATTTACATCTCGAGCAGGTGGCGAGTCTTCAGTTGACTGAGCCTTCACATGCCCCACATGCATCAATGAGCCTTGCCCGCTCATAACCCTTTCGCCAGTTCAACGTTTTTCCTTCCTCGGACCACTTTTGGTAGGTCCTGACCACTGCAGACCGGGAACATCCACAAGAACTGTAGTTTTGGAGTTGCTCTGACCCAGTAGTCTAGACATCACAATTTGATCCTTGTCAAAGTCACTCAAATCCTTACACTTGCTCTTTGTTTTCTGCTTCAGGGACAAAAGGTCCACTTGCTGCCTAATATACCCCCCCCCACTTCCAGGTATAATTGTAATATATCCCCCCACTTCCAGGTATCATTGTAAGGAGATATTCAATGTTATTCACTTCACCTCTCAGTGGTCATAATGTTATTTTCTGATCGGTGTAAAAGCTGGGTAAGATATTTAGGGATAAGGAGTTGATGATTGAAAGTGAAGCAGTTTGTCATGCTGTCTGCACTACATGAAAAAGTTGTAAGTGTACCAAAGACTGTGTGAGGAACCTTCATTGAGTAATAGGCTGAATCTGGTTCTATTGACCATCTGCTGTTCCACGGCAATTCTGTAGTTTGTTTTGAGGGAAGCCATGCGAAAAGAATCATGAAATGTGAGTACAGCCAGGCTGTTAATGCGGGGTCACAGCTTGCATGTTAATGATGTATCATGAAAACATTGACATTGTATAAAGAGATTTCAGAGAGCAGGAGGAGATGTGAAGATCATAATCTAAGATTACATTGATTAAAAAAAGGCCAGTTGTAATAGAAATGTATTCATGGGTATACTTGTTCTAGCTCAGCAGAAGAATTAAAACTAGAGGTGCACCGAAATAGAAATGTCAAAACCGAAACAAAACCAAAATTAGAAAAAAAAAGTCGGGCCGAAACCAAAAAAAAAAAATTTTTACATTTTTTACGGCAGGCTGTCACTTTCTCTCCTCCCCGCTGAGCAGCGCCCAGCGGGGGAGGAAAGAAACCTGGGATGCGCCAATGTATCGGCAGGAAAATGGCACTTTCGGGAATTCAGCCAAAAGTGCAATTTTCGGCCGCTATGTTTCGGTGGCCGATATATTGGTGCAACCCTAATTAAAACCACTGAAAAATTGTGACGGCCAGGTAACTAGTTTTTTTTTTATATATAAAGGTCAACAGTCTACTAATTCCTCTCCTGACAGGTTTGCTTTAAATGTCAACTCCACCTAAGGCTGATGGGTCATTTTGCATTATAGGTGTTTTTGCTACTTGTTCCTGGATGGAAGGATTTGAGTTGATCTTTACAAGGGTGTCTTGTTTTTGCTGGGTTTTTTGTTTTTTTTCCCCGCACTCATTTACTGTTCGTTACAAAGAATGCAGTGGGAGGACTGAAACTCTGTGCGTTTGGTAGGAAAGGCCGAGAACACTGATGGGGGATCCTGATACTAGAAAATCTTGGACACCTTAAGAAACATCTGTTGATATTGGCACTACAAATAAGTTGGTGCCAATTGTTTTTATCAGATAACCTTTATTTGTTTTACTTAACATTTGCATTACCCCCTATGTCTCTTGATATCAAAGTACCAAATAGCCTTTGTGTAGCAATCATATGCCTGTTTTATTCTGCACTTGGTTTAAATCAGTGGTTCTCAACCTGTGTAACCTCAGGACCCACATTTTGTCCTAAGTCATTAGGTCACCGACCCAAGTCGCACCGCACTGGAATGCACGGCATTGCGGTACCGCGGGGTTCCGGTGTGGGCGATCAAACTGTGGGTGGGAAGTGCATTTGGGATGCCATTCATATGAATGGCAATACAACACACCTCCCGCACTAGAATGTGTGGTAGGTGCGATTTTGCGTAGTACAATTTTTAAATTTTGAATGGGCCCTCAAAAACACTGACAGACGTACACAACCACAGACACATTCTCACACACACATACTCTATAGCTATATATAGATATAGATAGATAGATAGATAGATATCTATATATAGATATATAGATAGATATATAATTAATTTAGGATCCACCCAGTCCTATCTTACGAGAACTGGAGTAGATCCTCAGCCCGGGGTCCAATTTGAGCAACTGTGCATTGCTTGTACAGCTCCCTTGTGTGTCCTGTCGAGGTGCTGGGAGCCAGAATGTGATGTTACTCTGGTCCAGGCACCTCTACAGGACCCGTGAGAGAGCTGTAAGCAATGTACGTATGGATGGAGCTCCCTCACGGCCATAGCCCCATCCCACCCCACCTCAAGCTGACACTCAGCGCTGGGCAGCATATTTTGAATGGCTGCTTCATGTGGGAACTGACAGTGCTGCGCTAGGGGGAGGCTGAGGAGCCTCTCGCCTAGAAAAGTGGAAGGCATGCAGGGACCCACTGAACAGTCGCGACCCACCAGTTGAGAACCAAGGGTTTAGATCTTTTAAGAAGTTACATGTTTGATTTTATTCTTGCAATGAGTTTGTAATACTTCCCTCTCTTACGCAGTCATATCTGCTAAGCTGAAAGACAGCAGAAAGAACTGGTTTGGTCCAAGCCCATATGTGGAAGTGTCGGTCGATGGACAGTCCAAAAAAACAGAAACCCGGAATAACACTCACAGTCCAAAATGGAAACAGCACCTTACTGTGTAAGTGATAGCCTATAGCTAGGAAGGAGTGTGCGCAGAATGTAGTCTGGTGGAATAATGACCTTTTATTTATTCAGCACGAATATGAATGAGTATTAACTACTGTCGACAAATATGAAAATCATTTAGTCTGCTTTAAAGAGACGCAGTCATTGGGATCCTTGTGTCCTAATGGCCATGCCTCTGTTAAAGCCTCCAGCAGAACTTCATATGCAGCCAATTTCCCCGTGTGTTAGATACCTCGTCCCCTGCTGGGCATTATGGTTGCTCAGATTCTGCTTGAGACTGTACGACTTTAGAAGGAGGTGATGAGACCTGCCACCTACAAGTAGGGGAAGTGTTGAGGGGTTTCTTTTATGATGATTAGCTTTTTTTTGTTTTTGTCGGTTGAAGGGCGCTGTGCGTTGGTGCAGTATTTCATTGTGATTTACTTTTGTTTAATCGTAAATCGTCCCTGACCTGTTCTGGTACCATGCACAGACACACCTTTGTACAGATGGGATGGCTTCTGTCTCTTAATCCCTGCATGCAATGCTGCACGGATATTTCATTTGCAACATAGAACGTTACTGTTTGGTAGAGAAATTAGTACATTTTAACCTGCGTTGTCTGACATTTCTGATTATTTATTGGTACATTTGCAGTCCTGCATGAAATCTCATTCTAAACTGCTGGTAACTGCTCTAATTTTACTTGTGCTTTCCTCTTCATGTTTTGCAGCATCGTTACCCCATTCAGCGTGTTAAATTTCCGGGTGTGGAGTCACCAGACTCTTAAATCTGATGCTTTACTTGGCAGCGCATCTCTGAACCTGCATGAAACCCTGCTCGCAAATAATATGAAATGTAAGTATGCATTCAAACACATTTGGGCGTCATGGACGACATGCGTCTGCAAGAGCATCCAATCTTTTTAGGTAGGACTGTAGGGGCATGTCACATGATTCTGCAGCAAGCCCAAAGAAATAGGGAGTATACAGGGCAGCATGTCAATCTTATCAATGATGGACCACTATTCCTCCCACTGATCCCAATGGTGGACCACTATTTCTCCCAATGGTGGACCACTATTTCTCCCAATGGTGGACCACTATTTCTCCCAATGGTGGACCACTATTGCTTCCACTGATCCAAATGATGGACCAGTATTGTTCCGACTGATGGACCAGTGTTTCTCTCTCTGATACCAATTGTGGACCACTATTGCTCCCACTGATACCAGTGATGGACCACTATTGGTCCAATCGTCTTCCAGGACAGCAACCTGAGAGATGATTGGTTCCGCCTTGTACAGGAAACACAATTAGCAAAGCGGTTATAAGCCCCTCCCACTCACCTCGTAACCCAGTTTAGATTGTGTTTCCTACCGCCCAGGACCATGTCACATTTGTTCTTTTATACTGACCGGTTGGCATTGAGTTCGCGGGTCCCCCTCTGTGCAGCTCCACCTTTTAAGGTTTGTGCAGGACCTTATGGCCTTGCTGTTTGGCAGAGGGCTATCCCCCTTGTTTCCAGGATCTTGTTCCTCTCTTTCCTTGGGGAATAATGACTCCTGATACTAACAATGGGGCTTTATTTCATTCCCCAATGACCACAGATTTCATTTTTTACCTCCATTGACCACTGAGCCTTGGGCCTTGTTTACTTTAAATTTTTTACATTTTTTTATGATGTGCTTTCTTTCTGAAGAGCTACAAATCTGAATTTGCATAATGGAGGTAGAGGTGAAAAATCTATAGATCGGAGCACCTTTAGGAATGCACATTATATATGTATTAGACTTGAATTCTAGTGTGTACTTGGCTCGTGGAGGAAAACGTTTCATGTACAGTGCTGGTTATGAAACACAACAGGCTCAGTTTGTCTATACATAGTCTCTGCTTGTCCCTTAAGATAACATCATTCTGATTTTCCAGGAGTCGGCACTTTCCATGGTCATGTGACTAAATGTCACTCTACTGGTAGATAAGATACTGAAGAGTAAACTCTAACTGCAACATTAACATGATTCATACTTCCTGCTACAAATTGACGTCATGCTTAAAGCTACAAAAACAACAAAAAATTAATGCAGTTCTTTTTTTTTTTTTTTAAACATCAAATACCTAAATGTGACTCGAAATCAGCATCTTGTAATCCCCTGTACAGCTGAATTAAAGCACTAGGCCAATCAGATGGGCATATTCAGTGGCCAGAATCCTCTTTATTATTCTGAATGTTTCCACACATAGGGGCTGATGTATAAAGGTTCTGCTCAGCGTATAGCTGGGCGAATGGCATTCCCGCTACTAGATGGCACTGAGGAGCAAAAGGACCAGCACAGTGGCGTAGTGGTTAGCACTTCTGCCTTGCAGCACTGGTTTAAAATCCCGGTCCGGACACTATCTGCAAGGAGTTTGCATGTTCTCCCTGCGCTTGTGTGGGTTTCTTCCAGGTACTCCAGTTTCCTTCTGAAAGGTTAATTGGCTCCTGTCTAAATCGGCCCTCCTATGCATGCGAGATAGGGACCTTAGACTGTATGCTTCTTTAGGGCAGGGACTGATGTGAATGTGCAACTATGTAAAGCTCTGCGAAGATTGTCAGCGCTATAGAAATACCAATAATAAATAATGCCTCTCGGCTCCCTCTAGTAGCGGGAATGCCGTATGAATGGCATTTGTCCATCTATAGCAGTGGTTCTCAACTCGTGGGTCGCGACCCAAAAGTGGGTCGCGACACCCTCTGCAGTGGGTCGCGGCGTCATGTCTGCATAGACCGGCCCATCTGCATTAGAGAGAACTAGAGGGGGAAGATGGGAATGTTTATACATAATCTCCATAGGGTTGCAAATGGCCATCTGCTCTTAAGAGTCAATGTGCCAACATCCCCTTGTAGGCCATTGGTTGTAATTTTGAAAACAACCTTTGCCATTTTTTTTGCTTTCAGTGGAAGAAGTGATTGTGAATTTACAGCTACAAGGTGACAGGGAGACGGTCGGTGACTTATCAGCGTGTCTTAATGGGCTGCAGGTTGATCCAGAGATCTTAACAAATGGTGATATTACATTTGTATCAGGTAAGAGTTGTAATGTATCTATTATCACAGAGCCTTGTATGGGGTTGGAGAGTTAAAGAAGAACTCCAGGAAAGTTTTTCTTTTTTTAAATAACCCTTGTAGTGGGGCTACCCCCGCACTGCATGGATTAACGGCTCCTTTGTGTCCAAAATCTTATACTCACCCGAAGCTGAGCCTAGACCGTTCCTTCCTGTGTCTCTCCCACTTCTCCAGAGCAGTGTAAGGTTGCGTATATCATCAGAGTCTATACACTGTGTATAGGACTTTGCGGAAGATTCCAGTGCTGCTGTTGAGGAGGAGACGGGCTGGAGTTAGCACTGTGACAGCTGGCCAGCTTGGCGCTTCAGATAAGTATATCTTTGTTATTTGTGTCCCTAGACACAAACGAGCACTTAAAGGAGGTGAGTGATTTCCAGTCATGCCGCCGATCCGCTCACTTCCCGATAATCTCCCTGCAGAGAGCAGTGACTGTCAGTCACCACTCCCCACAGGGTTTCCCCCTCTTCCCTTTCCAATCTTCCAGCGCTGACTGGAGGGACGGACGGGGGAGGGGGCGGTCATAGCTGGCTGTCGCTAGATAGGTAGAGCCTGCTGTCAATCAGGCAGCTGGGTGGATCTCGACAGTATTGTTGGGATCCGTCCTGGCTGCGGTGCTCTCAGCATATAGGGGGCAATAGCCTACTATATACTGAGTTTTGGGTCACAAGAAAAAGTATATGTGCTCCCGTGTCCCTATAGAGAACTATGGGGAAAAAAGGTTACCCCATAGTTCTCTTTTAAAACAAGAATTAACTGTATACATACAGTTGGCGGTTTATTTATAAGATGTTCATAGAAGCGATTGTCCTGTGAAAATCTGACCTTCACATTGCATTGTGGCCATCTGATAGAGCCGATGAGCTTAGGCAATTCCTATGCTTCTTGCCTTGTATAAATATTAGAAGACATCTAGGGGTGTATCCAAAAAGCCATTCATTTTGCAAAAATCTGATTACACACACACACACACACACACACACACACACACACATACATATATATTAGGGCTGGTAATGATTAAAATTTTTGTGTTCGATTAATCGAAATTTTTTTTAATCGATTAATTGATTAATTTCGATTAATTATAATGCACATACAGATCCAACTACATTGGCCTATACACATACAGCACAGCAATGCAGTAATAAAATTAACTAGGATCACACTAATCCAGCACTTTATTAATCTCACGTGGGGCAACTCAGAATAATAACGTGTTGGATTACTGTGATCCTAGTTCATTGTATGACTTCATTGCTGTGCTGTATGTGTATAGGCCAATGCCTTGGCTGGCGCTCGTGCAGAGTTTCAAAAAAAAATTAATCGATCAAAAAATTTTTAATCGATCAAAAAGATTAACGATTAATCGAGAAATTAAT